GGAAGAGGGGGAAGAGGGGGAAGAGGGGGAAGAGGGGGAAGAGGGGGAAGAGTGGGAAGAGGGGGAAGAGGGGGAAGAGGGGGAGGAGAGGGGGAGGAGAGGAGGAGGAGAGGGAGAGGAAGGGAGAGGGAGAAGGAGAGGGAGAGGGAAAGGGAGGGTAGTGTTCTGTTTGCTCAAGAGAATCAAACTCTATTTCTACTTTCTGGTATTTTTGAGTCAACCTGGGAAATGTGAAGTGTCTGAAGGATAACTAGTTACTGCTTCAGATTCTACATGACCATTACAGTCACACTGTGGGTTGGTGACCAGGAAATGAGGGGCAGGCTTGGCATTTCCCCTTCACTCTACAACTATAAGGGGTAACAGGACTGTGAGGACAGGCTCTGAAAACGTTTTGTGTGTGTGGTGAGGTATCTACAAACAACATCTTTTTAGGCCATTAAAACAACTGTCTCTTGGAAAGTAATTCACTTGCACACCAGAGTCCTTACTCAAAGGAGGACATTTGGTTTGTTTGACACTGCCCCAGGGTTTCTGCCTCCTTGCTACAGAAATCTACATCTGACTTGGCATAACATATTCACTAAAATAACATTCTTAAAGAATGGAAGAAGCTGAGCACGCTGACAATGGCTGTGCCGCACAATGCACTTCAGGGATGAGCCGATCTAGTATCTTAGACAGGTGGCTCCCCTAAGCAACCCACCTTCCTCCTTCCTTCCTTCCTTCCTTCCTTCCTTCCTTCCTTCCTTCCTTCCTTCCTTCCTTCCTCCCTCCCCTCCTTCCCTTCCTCCATTCTTTCTTCCTTTTTTCCTTCCTTTCTTCTTTCCTTCCTTCCTATAGCAATGGACTGACACTCAAAATTGGCAACAATCCATTCAAGAAGCTAAGGGAGGTGATGGTTGCTGTTGGTCATCCTCAGGAAGAGGGAGCCAGTAAGCCCTTGAGTAGGTCATGTAGAGGTATGAGTTTGCTCTAGTGGGTGAAGGCCAAGAACTCTGGAACACTGCAGAGGAAATGGCCTAGGACAGGACATCAGTATGCAATCACATTTTATACTGCTGTACAATGACTCAGCTGGGCTTCTCTTGCAAGAGCTGTGTTTGGTGAGAAAAGCCTGTGGCCATGCCCAGGCTATGCAGAGTTCCCCTAGCGGGGACTCTGCAGAGCAGGAGAACTTGTCCTAGCTCTTTCACCCAGTATTCCCAAGGGGAAGTCACTGCTTTGAAAACCTTGGAAGTTCAGCTTGGGACTTCTGCCCCCAGCCTGCTGAAAGTCTCCCTGTATCCCAATCAGTTGCTTCGACAAGGCCTTTGAGGTGGCTAGGCCACAGCGGGTGCAGCATGAACTGAGTGAGAGAGCCCAAGAGATGGCTGAGGAGAGGCGCTCGCTTCCTCATCCAGCATCTCTTCCTCAGGGTGCTCAGTTGGCAGTGACATTTAGAGCGGGCAAGCCTAGGCTTAAGTATCTACTTTAGGCAGGCATTCAGACAACAGACACGCGCCAAGACAAAGATAATGTCTTCATACCTTCATCTCTTCTTCCATTTCCGACATTTTCCGTTCCAGTGCTCGCCTCTCCTATTGAGAAACAAGGAGCTTGTTGAAGAGCTAACGGCATCACAAAGCTGCCTCCCACACGTCACTCCATCAGCAGCTTCATGGTCTGAGTCTGTCTCGACTAGGGCCGACCTTTCTCCACACGTGTCCTCTGCCCTGCCGCCATGGGACAGAGCTACTTCACTGATGACAGCCCCATTACCTAAGTCTTCTATAAGAAAATTAGAAGATACAGGGGCAGCATCTGGCTAACGTCCTTTACAAGTTAAAATTTTCAAATGCCTACAAGTAACTAGGACCCTTTGCTCTCTAGAGACAAAACTCATCACCCTTAGTAACATTCCACCCAAGTTCCCAGTGAACTACTTCTTCTAATGGTCGGGAGTGGATGGTCAGCGGGGAAGATGACATCACTGTCTGCAACTTCTCCCTCCCCTTGCTTTCTCCCCAGTTAGTACCTCTTAATTTAGCCTGAATTCAAGGAGGAACCGTTAACCAGATGAGATGCCAAGGAGGACTGGTTATAGGCCAAGGGAATGAAACATAAAACTTAAGTTTTTCCCACAGACAATAAGAAAGATAGGAACATACTATATCCTTCGAGTCAGATCAGAATTAGGGTTCATCATTAAATCTGAGTTTCCTCAATCCAAGGATATCAAATCCCAGATATAAACACCTGAGATCAGGTCAGAGGGCTGAAGAAAGGCTGACTGCTCAGGTCTTAAAGACCTAGATTAGTGGCAAAGGGTTTTGATGAAAAACTTTCTTTACAAAATATTTATATCTGAGTGTGTGTGTGTATGCACATGTGTATCCATACCATGGTATGTACATGAGGTCAGAGAATAACCTTTGGGAACCAGCTCTCTTGTATCTAGCAAGCACTTTCAGTGTTGAGCCACCTCACAGGCTAGCCTCCTCCTTTTGAGACTAGGTTTTGCTCTGTAGCTGTGGATAGCCTGGAACTTCTGTCTGAGGCCATGGGGAAGGCGGAAAGCCCTTGGACCTCTGTGCATGTTTAAATAACCAAACATCTTATAGCTCTGTGTCTGTGTGTAGTTCTGAAGGCAGAAGAATGTATGAGATGACTTCCCAGGGCTCCTTCCCACCCTAAAGCTGGCACGTTCAACGTAGCCAACTATACGGGAAAGCCAAAACGACTGGTCATCAAGTTACTGTCCAGAGTCAGACAAAAAAAAAAAAAAAAGATTATTAAGCTGGGAACGGAATGTGGCAGAGCTCCTGCGTTCTAAGATGAACTTTTTCCACTGGCATGAACAACAAAGTTAAAAAAGGTCAGAAGAAGATGTGCAGCAGGTGGCCAAGGGAGACAGATGAACATACCCGCTTCTCCACCTCCAGCACCGAGGACCGGTCAGAGGTCTTCTCTTGTTTCTGCTGTGCAAACAGAAGGACACTTGTTGTTTAGGCTGTCTCACGTGTAGTAGGGAACCCAGCTTTCTCTGGTTCACCACCAGATGTCCAGAAAGAGGTGGCAGGGTTCTGGGATTTTCCTTTTACAAGGGTCTGTGAGACTGGGAAACCCAACACTTGCCCCCAACAGTATGTAGGATGGCCCCTAGGGAGGGGAGGGCAAGAACAGTTTCTGAAGCTCAGCATGTGTGTACAGACACTACTCCTAACACATACCAGACTCTCCTCTTCCCTCTCCCTTTAGACTCAAAGTCCAAATTCTAAGCTCTGCGTACACCGAATTACCCCTGCTCCGCCTCTAGAGACAACTCTTCTTTCCAGGCTGGAAGCCCCAAACTCTAACGCAATCTCTGTGGCAGTCTTGTAAACCATCATTGTGTTCTGAGCATTTTCCTTCTAGTGTGGTGTCTTCACACAAGGTAGTCTCCTTAGCCAGCTTCTGGTATCTGAACAGAACATTTCTACTATTATCTGTTTGGCTTCCTTCTTAATCTGTTAAGATTTTATCTGAACAAAGGATTTATGGTATGTATTTCGATATCACTGACTTTCAGTTCCAACCCTTCAGAGGAGTAAAAAGATTTGGCCACTAAACCTAAGAAGAGTAACTTCAGGGAAAGGTCCTGCCTTCAATCATGGAACACAGGGATCGGTAAGTCTCCTATGGTCTTCATGTTAGAGGGCTGGGTGGACTTTGTATAGTCAGCAGACATTTGGTGAATGAAGGATGAGTCTTCTATCTTGCCTAGCACAATGCTCAGACTGCTGCAGTGAGGGGGACACCAGGCTACTGCAGTGAGGGGGACACCAGGCTGCTGCAGTGAGGGGGACACCAGG